ATTCGCGAGGCGGTCCGAGGGTGGAGGGGGAGTGGACTATGTTATTGTACGCAGAGATGGGATAAAGCGGTTAGTTAGCTGACTACATCACACACAGAACAGACATACAAACTGCCTTAGGGCGATGTTAGGCAAACAGAAAGTTCTATACGTTATGTTACACAGATAACAGAAAACAACACGGAAGGATCAGGTTATAGGGCGATGAACTTCCACAACTCATCACTGACTTATAGCTCCATCTAACCGTGGATTGTATGGACAGCGTGTTCAGTATAACATTTCAGCCTCTGGCATTAAAAAACTGTAAGGTCATTATATCATTTCTGGTCGTAATACATAATTAGACGCTCCAAATGCTTGCAGGTCTACGTGGGAAAATTTTTAATTTTCATTTATAGTAATAGAATACGGCAAAGCTAGACGACTAAATATAAAAACGAAGATAAATTTATCGATTGTCGTATTCTTGGTTATGATATAATGTACCAGCGCGTTTCGCAGTTACGCATCGCCTCCATATTAAGTGGTGACAAACATATTCACCGCTGTCAAATTCTCTGATATCAGAGAGATAAATTTAATATTTTATGAGATGATAATGTTGCTTCATATTGTGATGATTATAATTGTTTAATTTTAACCGTCTAATCACAATAAAATATTTTATTAAATATTAAAATATTATTACTACAATTAACATTTAATATTTAAAATATTTAAAATATATTAAAATGATGCTCTTTATATCGAAATCTTCGATTTACAATTAGGGCATCATCTTTTTCACGACATGTTTCGGTTTTCAATGAACCATCTTCAGGCTTACTATGTACGTGTACTTATATACACAGCAAGGCAGATCGGTAAGTGTCGACTCTTTGAGTCATTTGTAATTGACTAATGGTAAATAATGGTTTTACTTTTAGGTTATATGTTGTCTTGTTACACTTTTCGGTAAAAATGTGTTCTTAAGTACCACCGGTGATTTTTCGTGAGAACGTAGCGAGCAATTCTCTATTCATGTATTATGTGTGGATAACAGTACTGAAAATAATGAATGCATTCTATAATTGTGCTCTTCGTATTTTCCGTTCCACTTTCACAGACCCTGAACTCAGAATCCTGTCACCCGACATCCTGAAACTATTTTCTTACCTCAGGGTAAAACAGAAAACAGCGGGCAGAATTACATTTCACTTTAACAGCTTTTAGTTATGAATCCGAAAGAAAATATTTCTTAAGCGTAAGATATAAAAAAATCGAATTTAATCTGCTTACCGTTCTAAATGTAATTTCGGTTCTTTATTTTCGTTTTTGAAACTAAAATGCCGTTTGTTTGCTGATTGGGTACTTAAGTGTTTTTTTTCCCAGGAAGGTCCTTTGTGAAAACACTTGAATAAATTATTTAAGGACGAAATGAGTGCAATACTTTGATAGGCCTTTTCAGAGAGTCAGATATTACAGGCACTAAGAAACAAATGTAGGTCATTACTTATGGACAGGCGGTCACTAAAGAAGGGGGTAACACGAGAAGAAATCAGAATGCAGAAGTCTCGAATAAATATCATTTTGCTTCGCAGCTTAACACATAACTCACTTCAGTTTATTGATTGATAGAAACGTGTCGTTTTGTTCTTTTCACATACGAATATTCAGTTTCTGTAATCTCGTCACCTGCACCCACAAAGACCAACAGGAGGTGATGAATGTAAAAAAAATTTTTTTTTTTCTTAGAAATGGAATTTATAAAACATTCATTGTACTCGCGGTGCTTTGCATTCTCATAATTCGTAGCCTGCTATTTTTTCTATCTTTTTTGTTTGTTTCTTTGTAAGAGAAAGTTTGAAAGTCAAGTGGTAAAACTGATTCGGACCTATTTGTCACTATTCAAAATTGGAAGGCAAGAAATCTATGTTCCAGTGACGTTCGCTATAAAAGCGACAGGCGATGAATAATCCATCAACATTCTTTACTGATCAGACGTGCGTTTTTTTATAGACGCTAGTTGGAAGTGGCTTACAGATTGTAATTTTGTTTATGCATTGGCTAATATAATATTTATACGCGTCGAAAAGAAAGTAATTTCAGATTATTGAAGAGTGTACTAGAATGTAATTAGTTTTGCTGGAGGAGATACTGGCATCTGATACTGAAGCACTTAAAAATTTGTTTCAATCATAAGAGAGTAATCACGCACAAAGTTCAGCCAGTTGCATCCACTCCCATCTTATCTTATCTCCTTAGTGTTTCAAGAGGTTTCACCACCAAAATTCTGTACATATTTCTTGTGTCCCCCATCCGAGCCCTAGGAAACGTACTCTAATATGTAAAAGTAAATTATAATGACTTGGTTTTATGTGATTTAATGTTTTTGGTAGGAGACGAGGAGACAGGGTCGCTGTAACTGTTAGGAAAACGTATAGTTTAATAGACGAAGTTTTGTGATCACTGTAAATTATTACGTTCAATTTAATCTTTCAGGCCATAAGCTCATACATGAACCACGATGAACTGTTTAATTCAAAGTGAAATGAATTAATGTATATCACAACTGAAGCTTGTCTGTTCCATGTATTAAAAAAGTTCTTGACTTTTGTTCAGAACTGCTGTTTCTCCCTGAGACGATGAAACAAACAAACAAACAAACAAACAGAAGCTTGAATTTTCTGATGACGAATGCACTGCGCAGGGACTGTACTGTTACTGAGAGCCATTTGTTGGCATGCGTATCAATCCCATTGCTCTGTCTCAGCCCGAAATTTCAATGATTCAATATTTTCATCGTGTTTTATTTATGTTATTTGGATTGTCAGTGGCTGGATTTTTATTCCTTGTCTCTGCTGTTCACCGCCTTCGCCGTTCTGTGCGAGTACAGTCACTACAAGACAAGTGACGACTTCATAAAACAAGTATGAACATTGTGACATGTCAATCTGTGATGTTAAATATAACATTATTTCTCAAATCAATAAAATCGATGTGAAATGGATTTGTGTCGCTAACCTTAGGTGCACGGAAGTTTGAAATAGCGGCCAGTCCGTATATAAATTATGTATCTTATAGATATTTATTAATAGTTTAACAAACGAAGCTTTTTCAGTAACTCAGAGTTGTAGCGTCTAATGAGAGGATGATAGTGGGTAATGAATTAGAAAGGATGCGGAAAGATGCGGTCGTGACCTGATTTAAGGTACTATTACGGTATTTGCCTGAAGTCACTGAGTAAAACCACGAAGGCGCGCCACCCGTCAGGATGACCGGTTTCCGGGCCGCGATTTGAAGCCGGGACCTCCCGAATGCGAAGCGGGAATGATAACCACTCGACAAAGACGTTCGGTTATGAATAGTTCTTATATGAAATTGCAATGTATCGACTGTTGTGTTATTTAGCGATATTTTATCGACTCCATAAGGTACAGACCCAGAGCTTCGAACGATCGTCTGAGTACATTATGTAAGGATGTGGTCGTGGCCTATAGAAAGGCTTTAAAAGCTGTATGTAGCATCAGGTAGACAGTGGAAGGACGATTATGACTTAATAACTGGGAAACACTTGGAAGGAAGTGGTCGTGGCCAATTTTTAGATTCTGCTCTAGTGCTTTGTTGGAGTGAACGAAGAAAATGAAGAACGAATTCCACTGAGATTTGGCTTAACACTTACAAGGCGAAATAATATTATTTTTCGAGCAGCCAGCTGTTTCTAAGACTACGTGTGTCTCTCCATCTTCAAGGTATGTTTGAAGAATTACTAAAGTCGCTGATATTTTTTTATAAATCAGCTGGCTGATTGTGGAGTGTGCCATTCGGTACTCAGATTCAAAATAAATGCATGGTTGCTCATAATGAAGTTGTTCAAGGGTATGGAAATATTACGGATCCTCGTGTCGAAGTCTGTAGATTTGCATTTGGCGTGCTACTAAACTGTGCTCACGTGGCTGGCGATCGAAAGAAAGTAGGAATGGAGGAGCGAACGTGTGGGTCTAAGATATTAGGGAAAATAAAAGATGTTCAGAAATGAAGGCACGTATTACAGCTTTCTGTGGACAGAAGATGAAAAAGTAGACATAATTGTTCCTCAGTTTATTCAAATGTTTTATTCAATTAGTTTTCCATGCGTGAAGTTTGTCCTTAATGTTTAAAATTTCGTATGGTAAAGCTGTTTAACGCTTAATATAAAAAGCTTCAGTGGCACACGAGGTCGTTGCTTATAGAGAAGTGTAGACAATTAGTTTTGAATCGCCCTCACAATTTCTCCAGACGTTTTGCCACCGGATAAATGAACTAGTTAATCGATTTTGTGGGTGCACTGTCTTGCCAACGATTGGGAGGTCACGTGATTGATCTGTGCAGCTGCTGTTCTGACTTGTTTCTCGTAACTGTGCAGATAAGACGTAAAATAAATTGCATTTCTAAGTCCAGTGTTTGTAGTCAAAAGGTAAATAATCTGATATGCAGGTCTGAGAATGGCGGTCAATGGATTTCGGAGGTTTGTGGCTGGATTGTCGTTTACATTACGACGTGTGTACGCTATATAGGCTTTGTATTTATATAAAGCAAAGAAGCATCGCTTAGACCAGTGGCCTGGAGCAGTCAATGTTATTAAATTATGATGCGGGAAGACGATAGAAATTCTGTTGCGTTGAATTTTGTAGGAATTTTTCTTTTGTCATGTTTCTTTTGTAAGTATTATAATATAATATATGTTATTGGCTGTCCTTCTCGGTTGTGACGTCATGTGGACTCGTGGGTACTTACCAACGTTGTGGAGTAACTTTCATCTTTGAATTTCAAATGTCAATATTACGTGGAATTTTATTTCAAACCCGCCATTAGTTCAGTTAAAAAATAAAGACTCATTTCTGCCACTGGCAGTGTTAAACACCGACGTTCTATGAAAAAAGTATCCTTTGGCAAAAATACCATCTAGGGTTTTTTTTTGTAGATAGGTTAAAGTATGTAGCAGTTGGTAGCAGCGTCAGTCATCTGGGTGGCAATATGGCTGACGGTGTTTGCGTGTAGTATGAAGTGCTTTCAAGGACATGCGATTCTGAAGTGAGGTAAGATGTACTTTTACACATGTTTGTGATATGTTTTGTAATTTATAGGACGTGATGCTTCGTATGGAAAATGTTTAATGTGTAAATCTATTACAACGATTCGAAACTACGATTTGTTGGGTGTATTATAATTTGCCGCTGCTAGTAAGGAAAGTTTCGTGTAGATGGCAGCAGATATTTGAGAACAGAAGACGTGCGTTTAGATGCCAGTAGTACGCGGGCACTCAGTTAATGTAGTACATGAAATTCAAGATACAAGCCAGCTTCGGCGAACAGACTACCCGATTTTTCTCCTGTGGACAGAGGGAGGACATAGAATTCGAAAATTGGGAAAGAATCAGGAGTCTTGACGAGGTCTCATTTCGAAAACAATCTCGTTGAAAAATTTGAAGTTATTACTGCAGCGAATATGCAGATAACTGTCTAGTGGGTTGTTGCCCTGAAGTTTACCGACGTTTCAGAAATTCTTGATGTTGGAGGCAGTAAGCAACTCTGAAACGTCGGTAGGGCGCAACAAATCGGAAGACAGTAATTTTCAACTAGACGAAATTCTTAAGTAAAAAGTACTTAGAACAGGAAACTTAACTGGAAGTTTACCATTAAGCATATAAATGCTTTACTTTCAGGTTTAGGTAACAACCTTGCCTTACACACATGTGAATACTGAATGTTAATTTTAATTGCTTGAATTTTTAATAACAACTAAGCTCTTAACCAGAAGAATATAAATGGATGTAAGTATTCTTCGACCACTGCTTAGTACTAGTTCAGTACTTTAGCTTAGAGGAATATTTGAAAATAAATTGACTCTTTTATCCAACTTTATTCGAGGGAGAAAAGAATATTTTCAATCGAGACGATTTACAAGGAAAATGTTAATTTTCTAATACGACATGGGCTCATGGTGTTTCAGCATCCGTCTGAATGAACATTTCCACCTAACTTTACCTAACCAAAGTGACGTGACCTAACTTCACGTGGCACAGTCCTTTAGAATCTGACAGTCGCTGAGATAGTGAGGAAATTCCCCGCCTTTATAAAACCCCAAAATTCAGAACAGTGTTCACAACAGCTTGCTAGCAGTCTAATTCGTGAGCCAGATGAATCCAGTCAACACTGCTACCGAAACACGTTTCGATATGGTCCTCCAATGCACGACTCTGTCTTTCAGGCTTCCAGACAAAAATTTTGTAATATTTTCTCATCTCCTCATGCGTTCTGCAGCCTTGCCCTTCTTTTATTTGAGGACTAACTAACTAACTAGATGGCTTAGGTGAAACAAAAGGTTCATGACCGAATTAACCAAAGCCCTGTCCTGGGCCAACAAAATCCAGTCTCCTTCAACTCCTATCTCCCAAAGATCCCGCCTGAGATTATCCTCCCATCTACGTCTAGGTCTCCCCAGCGGTCGCTTCCCCTCAGGCTTCCCAAAGAGTGGACCCAACCAACTAGATGGCTTAGGGAACCCGAAGGTTCATCACCGAATTAACCAAAGCCCTGTCCTGGGCCAACAAAATCCAGTCTCCTTCAACTCCTATCTCCCAAAGATCCCGCCTGAGATTATCCTCCCATCTACGTCTAGGTCTCCCCAGCGGTCGCTTCCCCTCAGGCTTCCCAAAGAGTGGACCCAACCAACTAGATGGCTTAGGGAACCCGAAGGTTCATCACCGAATTAACCAAAGCCCTGTCCTGGGCCAACAAAATCCAGTCTCCTTCAACTCCTATCTCCCAAAGATCCCGCCTGAGATTATCCTCCCATCTACGTCTAGGTCTCCCCAGCGGTCGCTTCCCCTCAGGCTTCCCAAAGAGTGGACCCAACCAACTAGATGGCTTAGGGAACCCGAAGGTTCATCACCGAATTAACCAAAGCCCTGTCCTGGGCCAACAAAATCCAGTCTCCTTCAACTCCTATCTCCCAAAGATCCCGCCTGAGATTATCCTCCCATCTACGTCTAGGTCTCCCCAGCGGTCGCTTCCCCTCAGGCTTCCCAACCAGTACCCGGTGCACACCTCTTGTCCCATCCATGCGCGCTACATCCCCAGCCGATCTCATTCTTCTCGACTTAATCGCCCTGACAATATTGGGGGAGGAGTATTTGGTAAAGAGTACCTAACAAATAAGGAACTTCCCTTATTATGAAGCCTCATGTCACTTTATTTTGGTGTACATCTGTGCCTTTAGAAGTTGTGTATAGAAATTGACGAATAATTTTCACTAACCTCCGGAAATAACGTGGCTGTAATCTCATTTTAATTCAGTAGTCAACGAATAGTGTCGTTTGGCCGTGAGCTGTTCGTTAGTGGGGGCTGCGGTGTACACCCCTGGTACAAATGAACCAGGCCACATGCAAACGCAGAACTAGCGCCAACGGGCTCTGTTTGTCACACGTACAACAAACTGAGGCAACGAGATTGTCATCAGGTAATTATTTAATTATTAATGACTAATGAAACTGTCAGAGTTTTTTGTGCAAACTTCACAGCGCCCCCCCCCCACTTTTTTTTTGCCGCCCCCCCCCCCCCAAAACGTGCTTTGTTTATGGCATTATATTACACTGTTTATCCGCGTAGCTCGTTTTTAGATTGATGTTCGTTCTCGTCTGGTGACAGGAGATAGGAACTCATTTCGAAATGCAGTTGGTGCTGTCAGTATCTTAATCCAGTCAGCCCCTTCTCTGTCTTACAGACGCATCGCTCGTAAGTAGTTTTCAGAACACCTCAGAATTGCAAGACAACTTCATAAATTGCATTTCATGTTCTCAGCACAAAGTAATAGGGTGTTCAAAAAGTTTCCCGCGTCACAGCCACCTAACCACCAAACGGATTTATACGAAATTTGGAACTGCAAATTTCTCTGTGATCCATATTTTAAACTGTTAACGAAGCAAAGATTGGACTCGTATCACATCGAACAAGTTAGGAAATTAGAAACGGTTTAACAGTTCTCGTGCCTTCGCCGTAATTTGTTCCTTGAATTCTGCGACTTTCCGGGAAAGTTCTCGGCGGGGGACTCCCCACAAACTCACTCACTTCCTGTCAAGTGGGTACTTGGGGTTATTCAGCCAGAGCCATCTACTGCTGAAATCGAGAATGGATGGAGTTTTATCTCCAATCCCCATACGGCTTCATAGTTCGGAGTGTGATTATTTTAACATAATCAGCTCTGTCATCGAATAAAATATGTTTGGTACAGGGCCTAGCCTTGTCTTCAAAATGATTATGAAATTCTCACAAAACATGCAGTTATAATTCTCAAAAATTGTGCGTTTTCAGGAAATTTTGTGTGTGCTCGCGTTTAAGTAGCATTGGCACTGCACTCCCGCGTCGTATCTGAATGCGTGTAGAAGTTCACCGTAGGTCAACATTTTCGCTGTAGAAAAGAATGTTTTCCTATTTTGTATTATTTTATGAAGAAACATCAGCCTTCTTCTTGTTAATGTTTCTGTATATAAATTTGGTTTGCTCCTTCTCAAGGGACGAAGACAAATTATCTGAGATATATTTATATGATATTTTAAATTCTCCCATATTTTTGCACCAAATAACATATTTCTCAAAGCAAAGTAACTGGTACGAAACTTTGTATTGCACGATATTGTTTTTGTTGTTGTTGCTATGTTTGCTTTTGGCGTTGAATTACAATGAAAAGTGGAATGAAACCAGACCGAAATTACAAAGGAAAATAACAGAAACGTAATAAATCCTGAAGTATCCAAGGTTAAATTGTATTCCGTGGTAAGAGAAAAGAGGTAAAGTTCTCTTTGCGGTATATTAAACACCACGCCTTAATGTCCTACTTATTCTTGTGCTCAGATAAAATACCAGGCTATGAAGACTCAAACCCTTAGAGCTCAGTGGTAACTATATGTACCACATGCTGTTAGAGTCAGTAAATCTGTATTTTGTATGTGAATTTCATATTATTCTTATTGTAAGCGTAGATTATTTCCTTAAACAGCAGCTGATCTTTGTGATGGTGAAGCATTGTGTTTACTTTGCGGTACGGGCTGGATTATTAAGCCGAAGTTCGGCTTCACACGGTTCATCTACTGCAACGCTATAAAAAGTATGGGGAAGTGGATTGTAATTTTAACGACGGCCCAAGATGACTGTTAGTGGCCAGCATCACGCTTCGGCTACTTTACCGTCTTATGGGAAGGCCCTGGTGTAGAGCACAGCATAGGCTAAGGTATCCGGGCCTTTTGTGTCCTTTGGGGTACAGAAATTCGAAGAATAAAATTTTTCTCCGTATTCTACCCACCACCACCACCCAGAGGACACTTTGGTATTCATAACGGAGAACACACGTGACCGCTTCGGTTGTTATTCCCCGTAGCTCCGGGCTGTCGGGTCTCAGGAGGTCCACAGAAATGCGTCTCTGTGATATCTGGTTTAGTCCTAACTGCGATGTAATGACGTTTCGGGTACCCTTGTTTTCGGTGCTACGAGGCCGGGGAGTTCGGTGACAAGGGTTGGCACACCGTGGACGCTGAACGATCTTCTAGTTCTTGGGTATTTAAAAAAAAGTGACAGTTGAACCACGGTTCCGGAGAATCTGACGTAAATACGTCTATACGGAAAGGAAGTTTATATATTGGCTTTATTCTAAATATTTCCTTTATACATGCTTTACAATTTCGTAAAGTTTGATTAAGACATTGCTTATTTAACTTGAATTAGTTACGCTTAAGATGGCTCTGTGGTAGATGAATGTAATGTAATGAAATGTAATGTAACGTTTCCTAGGTAACAACAATTCCGAGTAAACACGACGTTCCCTAGGTAACCAGGTTACACTTTTTCGTTTCACTTTTTCGTTCCCCTTTTTCGTTCCACTTTTTCGCCGAATGACCCTTCCTTATAGACGTATTTACGTCAAAAAACTGTACGAAGTGTGGACGAGGGGGTAAGGATTTATAGCAAGGAGAGGGGATTGTTTTATCGCTGATTCATGTTCAGTTGTTTTGTTGACAGGGACTCAACCCGCTGTAGATACGTGT